AGGACCGCCGAAAAGGCCCGCGGAAGGGTGCGGCGGGCGGCAGCGCCGCGGGGATCCCGCAGCTCGCACTCCCCAGCCGCCCGCCAGCTTCCCTCGCCCTGGGCCCGCTCCAGAGAAGAAAGAACCTTTGCAAGGGCTGCCGCGCTGCCACTCACCAAAGGAAACAGAAGGCCGATCGGAGACCAGGAGAACGGGGCTGAGGCTGGCTGAAGCCACGGACGCACAACCCGGGACGGCAGCACCCGGAACGACACGAAAGGGCTCGCCACCCACTCGGAAGCAGCCGCGGGCACCTCAGAAAGAAAAAGCGCAGCGCGCGCCGGCGGCCATCACTCTAGCGAGCACCCCGCCGGCCCCTATTTATAGCCCGCTCCGCACCCCACGTGACCTGCCGAGCCTCGCGCCCGCCCGAAGTCCCACCTCCGACGTGACGCAGCCACAGGCTGGTCGGGCGCGCCCGGCCGGGTGAGCTAAACTGCTGCTCTGATTGGTCCGGATGCCGTCTAGGCTCCGCCCCCAGAGGGGAGCTGGTCCACGTGGGACTGACCGGCACCCTCCCTGCAGCCTCGCCCGAGTGATCTTGTCTGTGCTGGCCACGCCGGGTGGGAGCGGGCGGGGACGGTGGGGGATTCTGGCCCGGGCTCGCAAGTCGCCGCGCTGAGACTCAGAGGCCGCAACCAAGGTCGTTCCGAGTTTCTCCCACGCGGGCCCGGGTCAGCTGTGTGGCGACGCTGAAGCGCTTGTGTGCTGGGACCTGCCCTTGGCCGGACCCGAGCGGCTCCTCGCCCTCACGTGGCCGCCTCGCTCCCGCAGTCATGGGTGAAAATGGAAAGATTCAGGAGTCACGAGGACAGGCTTGCGTTCCCAGTTGTGGCACTGCGCTGAGGGAGAGCCGTGGGTCGGTAGTGACTCTGCGGCGGACCTGCGGTGTCAGAGCCCCGGCTGTGGCGCAGCGGGGAGGGATGTCGCGGCGGACTCGAATTCTGACTCTTAATTGCTGCAGTGTGTCACCTTGAACAAACCCTAGGTCTCTCAGACCGAGTGCTCAAGAATGTGAAATACTAGCAATGTGAGAGGAGACCGGTGGACGGGTTAGGATTGTGTAAAACACAGCAAAGATGCGTTTCCTGTCTGCTCATCGGGGCTTGTGGCGACAGGCAGTACTAATTCAGGTATTCTGGTTACAAGTTCTTACCCAGGAAGAGCCTTATGAGCTAAGATACAAGCATGTGACTGGAATTCATAGGTCTTAAGGAAATGTTCATTTCCTCGTTACTTTTTCCTGAATGTGCCTGTTTTAGAACGTAGGGAAAGGTGAGGGAGGATGTCCTTTTGCATCCTGAAAGTTTTCCCATCCTTTTGAAATAAACGTTGCTTCCTGGCCCCCCTGCGTGGTATGCGGCATTAGATTAGTTATGCGCATTTCGTTTTATTGCCTGAGAGATTTAAGTCATGAGGGTTATAGTGATAGTTAAGTATTACAGCCAGAACTAGCTAGTTTAGAATGCCCTTTTAAAACCCTTTCTGCGGTTTTATCATCTCCAAAGGTAGGGCACCAAATAGCAGGAAAAAAAAAAGATGTTTTTTTAAAGATGTCAGAACATCCTCTGAGTGTCCTCCGACGTATATTCTGGTAGAATCAGAATCTGTAGTACGTACAGGTCTGTTGACCCCAAGGTCATAGCTGGAAACCAAAGTTCATGTTCCAGGACACTGACTCTCCGTCCTTACTTCATTCGAAGGTTATAAAACATCGAATACAAGGACTGGTTTGTTAAAGGCTGTTAGTGTTCTGCCAGTTAAAACAATTTTTAAAGTAATTATTTGTGAGGAAATTGCTCATGACTTTCCCACTGTTTCTGGTGTGTTTTGCTTCAGTCTGTTCATGGTCGTGCTTTTGCCTCTTGAAATTGAGACAACCGAGGTGAGGAAGGCAGCCGTGGTGAGGAAGGCCCCCTAAGGGACAAGAGCAGACTCGTGAGGCAGAGTTTTAGATGTGAAGAAGTGGCTGTGGTTCGGAGAGGCTTCAGTATTTTGAGACCTGGCTTTATGTTGATTGGTAACACTATACTTTCAGGCAGAGAAAATTTTCTTTGTTTCAGGAGAGTGTTTTTAAATGGGTGGTGGAGGAGGGAGGATCATGAGATGATTTTTGGAGGGTTTTGTTTCAGTTTGGTTTGTTTTTTTGTTTGTTTGTTTGCTTGCTTGTTTGGGTTTTTTTGGTTTTTTTGTTTTGTTTTGTTTTTGTTGTTTTGTTTTTTGAGGCAGGGACCCACTGTGTTGCTCTGTCTCTCTTGGAACTCACTCTGTAGACCAGTCTGTTCTTGAACTCACACAGAATCCCCTCCTGAGTGCTGGGATTAAAAGCCACCACAGCTGGCTATTAGTTTGAATATTCCGTTTGACACAGCCTAGACGCACCTGGGGAGAGTCAGTGAGGGCTTGTCTGGAACAGGTTGACTGTGGGCGTGTTTGTAGAGGACTGTCTTAATTGGCGTGGAAAACCAAAGCCTGAAAATATGTGCCACCTTTCCCTGGTGTCTATTGCCATGACGAAACGCCATACCAAAAAGCAAGCTGGGGGAAGCTTACACTTCACAGCAAGTCTTCAGCCCTGAAGGAAGCTGGGGCGGAACTCACGCTGGACAGGACCCTGGAGGCAGGAGTTGATGCAGAGGGCATGGAGGGTGTTGCTTCCTGGCTTGTTCCTCATGTCTTGGTCAGCCAGCCTGGGGATGGCACCACTCACAATGGGCTGGGACCTCCCCTATTAATCACCAATTAAGAAAATGTTCTACAGGCTTGCCTACAACCTGATCTCAATTGGGGTTCCCTCTTCTCAGATAACTCTAGCCTGTTTCAAGTTGACAAAAAATTCTCAGCATGTCTGGTTTGGGTCCCTGGAATCTATAAGAGTGGAAAAGGACCTGGAGAGATGGCTCAGACATAAGAGCACTTGTTCTTACAGAGGACCCCAGTTTGATTCCCAACGTCTGCCCAGTGGTCCATAATTGTCCATAACTCCAGCTCCAGGGGACCTGACACCCTCCTTTGACCTCTGTACGCACTAGTCAGGCATGTGGTACGCAGACATAACATTCAGGCAAGCACATCAAATAAAAGATGTTTAAAAAATGGGGAAAACGGGCTGGAGAGATGGCTCAGAGGTTAAGAGCGTTGCCTGCTCTTCCAAAGGTCCTGAGTTCAATTCCCGGCAACCACATGGTGGCTCACAACCATCTGTAATGAGGTCTGGTGCCCTCTTCTGGTCTGCAGACATACACACAGACAGAATATTGTAATATATAATAAATAAATATATATATTTTTTAAAAAATGGGGAAAACTAGCCTAGCACTGAGCGTGCGGGCTCTCACGTGGCCGTAGTGTGACTAGCTGTTCTAAGCTCCTGTCACCTTGACATTCCCCACAGTGATGGTTCTACCCTGGAATTACAAGCTAAAGGAAACCCTTGCTTCCCTAAATTGCTTCCTGTCAAGAGTATTTTATTGCAGCATGAGAATGAAAGTTGTACAGCACATGAGGAACCTTAGCCGGCACACAAACAGCATTGGTTCTTGTGTTCCCTCAATGCTGGGGAAGTAGTCAGCCGAGGGGATCTGATCCCTGTTAGAATGGAGGCCTTAGTACAAACATGCCCTTGGGTCTTCGGAAGCCTATTGGTAAGTAGTTAAACACGGTCTGAAGCCGGACGGCTTGCCCTGCTGTCAGCTGGTCTCAGGGCAAGTACATCCTTTACCTGGCTAGATCAGCTTTAAAGAGAAGAGATGAAGGGTCCCTCCTTCACAGGACCGTTGGGAGGAGCACATGATCAGACTGTAAGGCATCTAGCCTATCGAAACCGCCTTTCTCTTTATTCAACAGCTAGCCATGAGCAGAGTCCCCCAGCACCTCCCTTTCTCTAGCCTTCAGGGCCAAGAGTTCTTTCCTACTTCCTGCTGCAGGAGAGGCCAAGGAAATGGGCTGCTGCCAGAGGGGTAGGGGCAACAGTGTGATACACAGCGTGTGAGTACCCAGGCTTGAGCTCTGACTCCTCACAGGGTTGTCTTTTTTTTAATATTTATTTTTACTTTGAAATATGTATATGTGGATGGGTATGTGCACTTGAATGCAGGAGCCTGTGGAGGCTGCAGGTACCAAGTACCCCTAGAACTGAAGTTACAGGCAATTGTGAGCTGCCTGCTGTAGATGCTAGGAATCAAATTCAGGTCCTTTGCAAGAACTGGTATGAACTCTTGACCACTGAACCATCTCTCCAGCCCCGAATAATACTTTTGTTTTGTCTATTTGTGCATTTCTTTATTCGCTTTGTGGAATAATCTTTTTGTACACTGTGAAGATGTGTCTTTGCCAAGGTGCCTTCTGATTGGTTTAATAAAGAACTGAATGGCCAATGGCTTGGCAAGAAGAGGTTAGGCAGGACTTAAAGGCACACAGAGAGAGAGTCGCAAGGCAAAATATAGATTAATATAAATGTGTAGCACGATTAATAAAAACCTAGAGACAGAAATTGGGATTCAACCTGACGGTCAGAAAAACAAAACAGTCAGCCACTGGCTCTTACCTCTGTCTCAGTCCGAAACAGTGACCCTGCCTCCAGAATCCTCATTCTGAGAAATAAGACTGTGTGTGAGAGCTGTCTCCTTCTGTATTATTATTATTCTTCACTAGGGCTGGGATTAAAGATATGCACCACTACTGCCCGGTTTCTATGGCAAACTAGTGTGGCTACTGGGATTAAAGGTGTGTGTCACCACTGCCTGGTCTGTAAGGCTGACCAGGGCAGCTGTTTTACTCTCTGAATTTCAGGCAAGTTTTAGTTATTAAGATACAAATGAAATATCACTACATAAATGGATTAATTTAAGTTACAAGTGCTAGTAGAACTTACAACTTAAAGCTATAGGCCAAGCTTTAATTAATAAGTCTCCATGTTGTTTTTTGTGAGCTGGTGGCCCAAAGAAAAAGCCATCTATGATTTGCAGTGCTGGGAATGGAACTCAGGACTTGCATGCTAGGCAAGCACTCTACTGCTAACACCAGCCTCAGCACCCTGCCCACAGGATCCTGCCGCTGAGTCATGAGTCTGAGACCGCCTCACCTACCTTCACCCTCAGAGGTCAGAACAAAACAGCCTGCCTGGCACTGCAGAACACAAAGCAAGGCTCTGTGGGACAAGACCCCCATCCACACACACACAGAATTCCAGACAAAAGGAGGAGACAATACCACACATGGGTATTGTGAGCCCAGAGAGACTTACAGTCTGCAGTCACCATTCAGTATACATGAATGTACATCCTGGAAAAAGTCTGTTGTGGAGAGGAAACTCCACATTCCCTGTGCAGCCAGACTGGGAACAATGACAGTTTCAGAAGCCTCCCACAGGACCTGAAGGGAACAGAAGAAGAGACCATCCCTGGAAGAAAAGGCACCCAGATGTGTGATGTTTTACTCTTTTGACTTTTTGTGGGGCCCACTACCCAGCTCCCAAATAGATCACACACAGAGGCGTATTCTTAGTTACGTATGCCCGGCATTAGCTTGACTTGTTTCTTGGCAGCTTCACTCATCTTGTCTACCTTTTCCCTCTGGGCTTCTATCTTTCTTATTTCTGTGTGTCTTTCTTTCCTTCTCACTCCGTGGCTGGCTGAGTGACTGGTCCCTGACGTCTTCCTCTCCCCGCTCTCTCATTGCCGCTTGGTCCTGTTTATTCTCTCTGCCTGCCAGCCCTGCCTGTCCTCGCTCCTTCCTCGCCGTTGCCCGTTCAGCTCTTTACCAGGATCATTAAGTGTTTTAGACAGGCAAAGAATCACAGCTGCACAGAGTTAAATACAGCGTAAACAAAAGTAACACACTTTAAAATAATACGCCCCTTTGGTACCCCTCAAGGGATAACCTTCTGCTCTACAGCCACTTCCCTGTGCCCAGGAGGACGGGAGAACTGTAAAACCTGCAGTGTGATTACACGCTTTCTCTGTGCCACCACGTATCTCGCGTAAAATGCTGTGTGAGTACTTTCATCTTATTTTACAGAGGAACTGAGGTACAGAGCATGAAGCTGGTTAAATCCAGTTAAGGCCCTAACAAACTTCAGGTACCCCTCCCTCTCCGTGCCAGGAAGCCCAGAGGCAAGGCAAGTAGATTTGGGTGCTAACTCTGACTTTCACGTGACACGTTCATTCCTCTCTTCTATTTGACTCTTGAATTTATGGCCTGTATTTAAAGCCTTCTCAAGCCCTGTTGGAAAAGGAAGGGGTACTTCTATACCTGTCTCCAAGATTGGCCCCAATTTCCCTAGAGTCAGAAGACAGGAAGCTAGCTCTCTCTAGAATGAAATTGTGTCATGACCTTGGAGTTGC